GATCACAGTTAACTGGGGGCCCTGAGTTTCGTGTACAAGTTTCCTTGGATTTTCCGTTGTCGTCAGCCTTCCGAACTTTCCATGATCAAAGCTGGGGGCCCTGAGTTTCGTGTACAAGTTTCCTTGCATTTTCCGTTGTCGTCAGCCTTCCGAACCGGCCATGATCAAAACTGGGGGCCCTGAGTTTCGTGTACAAGTTTCCTTGGATTTTTCGTTGTCGTCAGCCTTCCGAACCGGCCATGATCAAAACTGGGGGCCCTGAGTTTTGTGTACAAATTTCCTTGGATTTTCCGTTGTCGTCAGCCTTCCGGACCGGCCATGATCAAAACTGGGAGCCCTGAGTTTCGTGTACAAGTTTCCTTGGATTTTCCGTTGTCGTCAGCCTTCCGAACCGGCCATGATCAAAACTGGGGGCCCTGAGTTTCGTGTACAAGTTTCCTTAGATTTTCCGTTGTCGTCAGCCTTCCGAACCGGCCATGCTCACAACTGGGGGCCCTGAGTTTCGTGTACAAGATTCCTTGGATTTTCCGTTGTCGTCAGCCTTCCGAACCGGCCATGATCAAAACTGGGGGCCCTGAGTTTCGTGTACAAGTTTCCTTGGATTTTCCGTTGTCGTCAGCCTTCCGAACCGGCCATATCCGGCCATGATCAAAACTGGGGGCCCTGAGTTTCGTGTACAAGTTTCCTTGGGTTTTCCGTTCCGAACCGGCCATGATCAAAACTGGGGGCCCTGAGTTTCGTGTACAAGTTTCCTCGGATTTTCCGTTGTCGTCAGCCTTCCGAACCGGCCATGATCACAACTGGGGGCCCTGAGTTTCGTGTACAAGTTTCCTTGGGTTTTCCGTTGTCGTCAGCCTTCCGAACCGGCCATGATCAAAACTGGGGGCCCTGAGTTTCGTGTACAAGTTTCCTTGGATTTTCCGTTGTCGTCAGCCTTCCGAACCGGCCATGATCAAAACTGGGGGCCCTGAGTTTCGTGTACAAGTTTCCTTAGATTTTCCGTTGTCGTCAGCCTTCCGAACCGGCCATGCTCACAACTGGGGGCCCTGAGTTTCGTGTACAAGATTCCTTGGATTTTCCGTTGTCGTCAGCCTTCCGAACCGGCCATGATCAAAACTGGGGGCCCTGAGTTTCGTGTACAAGTTTCCTTGGATTTTCCGTTGTCGTCAGCCTTCCGAACCGGCCATGATCAAAACTGGGGGCCCTGAGTTTCGTGTACAAGTTTCCTTAGATTTTCCGTTGTCGTCAGCCTTCCGAACCGGCCATGCTCAAAACTGGGGAGGGGGGGGGCCCAGCCCGTGGTCTCCCCTTGAAACCTTCCGAGCATCAGGATTTCAACCGCGTTTCCTGCAGTTGTTTTCCCCTTTTTTCCACTAGCCCCCCCCCCCCCACAAGAAAACAAGAAAGCACGAACAAAAACAGCTGGGACCTGCCAGCTCCCCCCCCAAAGAAAGAAAAGAAGGAAGAGACAAAACCTGGGACCTGCCAGGGCGTTGGCCCTGGCCATAGCCTGGACGTGGAGTACCTGGGCGCGCACTACACCCTCCTTATCCCCGAGGCGTGAATCCTCGGACCTCGGTCCGGTCGACGCGATGGCTTGAGGGCTGCGGATGCGGCTCTGTTGAAAGGAGAGGTTCACGTGCCGGTTTTAGCTAGGTCCCCCAGTAGTGCCCTTTTACCGTTTCTTTTTTGAGGGGAGGGTTCCCCTACTAAAATAGACTACAGAAAAAGGGTGCCCTTATTCTTCCATTCGCTTCAGAAGATTATATTGTTATTGAAACCGGTTGGCTTCAAAGGGAATCTGTCACTGCATGTGTCGAAGCCTGGTGGACCCGGTTTTTGGCTGTTCCGAAGGATGTCATTGGACATACTTTGTTGCAATTTGCATGCCTCTGTAGGATTGGTTTCCTGATGATTTTCCTTCAAAACCATCCCCAAAAGGGTCCCTACGTTTTGACAACGGACCGTCTGTCCAATTTTTGTCGAGTTGGAGGCAAGGCTGAGGTAGTCAAAATGCTTGCAAAGAGGGTATTTGATAGGCAGTCACGGTTGGAACACGTTCAAGCCAGAACTTTGAACATTCACTCTCACTGTCACTTGAGGGTAACATGAAGATCTGAGGGAAAGAAGGGCGCACCTTAGAACATTCCCGCACTTCCGAGTGCGCCACCACTTCACCAGGGCTACGGTCCCGGCATGGTCTTCCGCACTGCGGTGACGCTGAGCTGATCGGCTGATCGGTCGGAGAAGGACATGGAGGAGGCCGAAATTGAATCGAGTCGCCGGTCTGGCAACCAGTGGGTACCCTCACTCCCACTAACATGGCACCTGACAGGGAGCTTTTACAAGAGGAACATGATCTTCCAGGTACCCTCCCACAGTGCTACAGTATGTTAGTGGAAGGGAGCGTATGTATTTGTGGGAACATACGCTTTTTGGATGCATCCATCTATTTTGAGACCCAAGTTAGCTGTGCTTCGGAGACAGGAGCCTTTTAAAGGGTCCTGGCTGGGCCAAGTGGCGAAAATGGTCAGAGCAAGTTTCAAGAATTGGCACCGCAGCCGATTCCCCAGGTCCCAACTTGGGAAATGGTTCGCTTGCATCCCCAGAGTCTCTCGGTGTTGGATTTAGTGGTTTGGTGCACTGACCAGTTGGAGAAAGGGCAGTAAAGGGCTCTTGCTTTCTGCTAGACTTGCCCCAGGCGTTTCCTTTTTTCTTGGGGCCGTGAGCTGGAAAAAAAGATTGGGGGCCCGCAGGGTGCTGTGTTTGTCGATGTTCAAAATGGGATGGGAAAACAACAGGAACATCAACCATCTGGTCGAGGTCAGCCTTTAGTTGCACCCCACGCCGTTGTGAAGCCAGCGACTCTGGATTCACTTCGCAAGCGACCAAGAATCAATTGCGAGCATTGCTCGCCAAAGCTCAATGTCAGTGGGGGGGGGGGACATGCGTGGCCACTGTACGCAGGGGTCTTGAGTGCTGTTGCTCACGCTTCAGGGTATGGGCATTTGTTTCGGTACGTGTCATATCTTAGGCATATTTGCTGCCACTGTTTTGGAGGTTATATGCCCTTTCTTGAGCTGCACGTGTATTGACTTCTGTGTCCAAAAGACTCAAAACACCTGGTCCCATCCTGACACAGCCAGTACGACGCGAACTCCCTATGGTTTCTCCACGTTATGAACACGCCCCGCAAGCATCTCCTTGATCCTGGTTCACTTTGCTCGTGAGGGACACATGCATCTTTCTTTCGTGCGACGCTCCGATTTTTGAGTTCGATCCCGGCGGATAAAAAAAACTTGCGGCTGCTGAGGCTCTGAGGCGCTCGGCAGAAGGTCCCCTCGCTGAAGCGCCCGGAAGCGGCTCGGCCAAGCTCGCGCGGGCGAGCGCCGACAAGCCACGGACTTCAGCACGGGGCCGAGGTCCGTAGGCGGAAGATGCCAAGTTGAGAAGCCAGTGCTCTTCAGGTGTTCGTTGTTTTTCCTTTTTTTTGCCCCCCTCTTTTCTTCCGACTTGCTTAGGCTTATCCGCAATCTGGTTGTTCCGATGTGGAAGAGTGGTGGCGTCAGAAAGAAGCGCAAGACAGAACATGTGTGTGTGTGTGCGAGAAGCGGGCTGGGGTAGAATGAATCGAAGCATTCCTATGTGAAGGATTCATCTTGTTGATGTTGCTTCAGGTATACTTTTGCAACCACAAATGGCAAATGGCCTCATCTTGTTTCGAGATATGGACATACCAGTCGAGGGCAGATGCCAAAGATTCCGTCTTCAAAAGGCTCACCCCACGCCCCTGGTGCATGTTTTTGCGTACCCATATTGTATACAGGGGCGTGGCAGATATCTGCATATAGGAAAAGCAGAGGGGATGTTCATTTTTGCATGTGGAGTACTGGACAAGCCTGTCCATGGTTGTCTCATGCTGTCGGAGACTCGCTCCTTCTCACCCTCGAAGCCAAGCGCTCGCGGGAAAAGCATGTGTGGCTTGACGAGACTTTGGGACGGTTGGAATCGGAGGGTTGGAATCGGAGGGGCCCCACAACCTGCCAACAGTGTAGAGAAGCCTGTTCACCTTTTTCCGGAAAAAAGGGTAAGCCCATCCTCGACATGTTCACCCATACGTTGTGGCTGGTCTGGACTAGCACCCTTCTTGGCATGCCGTGTGGCTGTTTCTGGGGAACCCAACGGCTCCTTGTGGAGTTATTTAATGTTTGTGAAAATCCGGGATTCATGTTTTAGCATCCCGCGTTCGGCCCATGTTCCAAAAGTAGCCTTCTCCTTTCACTAGCCAACAAATCAACCGCATTTTGTGGCCAAGGACTTCGAAGTTTCTCGAAGCCACCCAAACTACCGGGTTGCCTGACATACCCTTCCCAAACCGAGAACACTGGTAGCTTCTTCGGACCAGCCCAAGTTCATCCGGCAGCCCAGCTGACCGGGGCCTGGAAGTGTTGGTTCTTAGCTGTCTGGGGCAAAGCGGGACCCGCGGGAATGAAGGTCGTTTGATTTCGGTGTTGCTTATAGTTCTGCTCAGTTTTGGTGTCAGCGAAAAAGGTAAAAGGTAGAAGCAAGTTGTTGTTTTGGAACTGTTGTTCTCAGGGCCGGGGTACATTCCGCAATCTGTTTCTCGCTGTTTTCAGCGACTACATAACATTCTGGCTGCCTTGTTTCGCTACTTTTGTGAAACCAAGAACCCGTGGCTCCAAAGAGTGGGCATGTGCCGCGAGAATTGCGAGGTTGGGCAGCAGTTGCTTCAACCAGGCCTTTGGACCCCTTCAAAGGGAAGGCGCATCTAGGTCGCCCAGTAGTGCCCTTTTTGGTTTTTTGGGCAGGGTTCCCCTACTAAAATAGACTACAGAGAAAACACATCGGGCACCCTTATTCTAACCTCTCTACTGCAGGACCCAGACATGGATGTTGAAACACCGGGTGGCTTGTGATGTTTGAAGACGTGGGCCCAACGCGCGGCGTTCGCGGCCTTTCGTCGCGGATTGCGCCCGCAGGAGACGCAGCGCGGCGTGGCGTGGCCTTCCAAGGCGGCGCGCGCGGCGGTGGCGGTCTATGCGCAGGCGAGGGATCCGATCGCAGCGTATGGCTTGTTTCTGGATGGATAGCACTTGAATGGATTTTGGTTCTGCGTGGATTTGTTTCTGTTTCTTTTTGGCATTTTTCTGCAAAAAGTCAATCACCCAACGATCTGATCCACCAAAAAAACATGTTTTGTTTTTTTCCCCAAAGCTTTGGGGTCTAAGCCTAGATAGGCTCCGGGGTGGTCCGGGGCGGCCCTGAGGTAAGGTTCCACGAGGGTTCCACCAAAGTTCCACCAGGGTTCCACTAGGTTCTGCGAGGGCTGCGGGGTGGTCCGGGGTGGTTTGAGGTAAGGTTCCACCAAAACTCCACCAGGGTTCCACCAGGGTTCCACCAGAGTTCCACCAGGTTCTGCGAGGGCTGCGGGGTGGTCCGGGGTGGTTTGAGGCAGGGTTCCACAAGGGTTCGACCAGGGTCCACCGGTTCCATGAGGGTTCTACCAGGGTTCCACCAGGGTTCCACCAGGGTTCCACCAGGGTTCCACCAAGTTCTGCGAGGTAAGGTGATTCATGAGGGTTGTACCAGGGTTCCAAGAGGTTCTGCAAGGGCGGTCGGGGTGGTTTGAGGTAAGGTTCCGCGAGGGTTCGACTAGGGTTCCACCAGGGTTCCACCAGGGTGGCCCTGAGGTAAGGTTCTACAAGGTTCCACATGCACAAGGTTTCCACAAATGTTCCGCAAGGTTCCGTGGTTTGTCCTGGAGGGACGCAATGTGTCGTGCGCCCGCCGTCTGAAAAAATTGAGGGCTCAGAAGATCGCTTTGCTCATGGGCGGAACACTAAGCAAAACCGAAATCACTGGTTTTCAGCACAATTTCACTGCTTTGACTTGCTCACTTGCTCAGACAACGCGGCCCGAAATGTTTGCTTTGTGGCAGTAATGAGTATTACATGGCGGGCTTTGGGTTCCAAGGGTTCCACGAGGCTGCGAGGGCTATGGGGTAAGGTTCCAAAAACGCTCCACGAGGTTTCCACCAGGTTCTGCAAAAGCTATGGGGCCACAAGGACGGTTTGCAAGGTTCACTGGGCCTAGGTTGGGGCCCGATTGCACTGTCGAGGCTGGCTCGATCGCGGCCCGACTCAGTCGGGCCCCGTCAACTGTACCAAGCTGGCATCGCTATAGTTTTGCTAGATACAGTTGTAAGGCCGCATCCCAACAAAAACCGGCGTTGAGCTATAATTAGTATGGGTGGCTGGGGTTGGTGGGAGCCCGCTTGCACCACGGGACCATCGGGCCCCGGTCGGGGCCCGATTGCACCGTCGGGCCGTCGGGCCCCGATCAGGGCGCGATTGCGCTGTCACTCCTAGCTTTGCTTATAAAGTTAGAAGGCGGCATCCTCCGCAAAACCGGCAGTGAGGTGGGTCCGGGACCGGTTCCGCGAGGATTGTGGGAGGGTGTTGTGCTGTCGCCTGAGCTTATTTTGTAGATGGGTGATTGGCGCCAGTTAGATCACCCAACTACCCAACTGGCTGCAAAGCAGTAGGTGGTTGGAAGGGGATCTGCAAAAGTCCATTATTCAACTGGCCAAGGGGTCAATCATCCAACTAATGTTGGACCCTTTTTGCCTTATACCCCCCCAAAACAGTGCTGGACCCTCTTCAGAGATCTCCCCCAAAAGTCAATCACCCAACTACCCAACTGGCGCGAAGCGGAGTTCCTGGACAGGTTGTAAGGGAGCTGAGGACATGATGATTTGGTCTTTGACCGCCCCCCCGATCCCCCCCCTCAAGCAAAAAAAATGGGAGAGACCTTTTCGAAGCGAATGGACTTACGTTTGACCTGGAAAAGGTGATGAGCAAGTTTCGGGAAACAACGAGCTCACCCATATCCTAGGAACTCGCTTGCTGCTCCCTAGCCTTGTGAGGATCTTCGGGGGAGAAGTCACATAAACAGTCCTTTTTAGGGCTCGCTTTAGCACCCCCTCTCTCTTTCTTTTGACAACCAGTGCGACCACCCAACTTGATCGCCATGCATCAGTGAATCTAGTGTTTGCTCACTTCCTTGCACTATGGCACTTTCAGGGCAGTTCTCGGCAAGCAGCTTTCTGCCTAGCCAAGTCTTTTGGTGCAATTGAGACTCTATTCTGGGCTGTCCCGTGTGATGGGCTGTCATGCCGCCTACATCCGCCTACCAGGTCCATTTATCTTCATCCGCAGAAGCAGCTTGCTGTCTTAACCGTTGGCCTCGTTGGTCATTCTTCATCTTCCATTTGCGTCAGATTTTTCCTTCTTGGTTTTAAAGGGAATCCATCACTACTGGACATATTGTGTTTCTTTCCAGGGGGGCTTAAGCAAATGGAAGTCATTTTCTCGTTCAACTAGCAAACTGTTCACCTTTAAAGGGGGCCAACATCTGGTCCAGTGAAGTTTGGGTCTACTCGGAGCAAACGGTTTTCAATCAGATGGACGACTTCGTCCAATTTGAACCCCATGAGGCACACCGTCTACAGCCAAGCTCAAAAGCTTCCTATGTCCTAAACCCATACCCACGGCGACGTCGGATGAAACAAATCTACAGGAGAAAGTTGTAGGAGTCGAGATGAACTGTTACTTAGGCCGGAAATCGACCAGTTGTCTGCTTGGGAGAATGTTTCCGCCGAGCGGTTTCGCTGCCGTCGCTGGCCTGAGCCAGAGCTGAGAATTGTATTGGATCCCGAAAACGCGGCTTAGTACTTGGTGGTACTTAGTAATCATGATTAATCCAATGTTAACCTCAAGGTTGGGAGCTTGAGGGCCAGAGGAACCTCCAAAGCAAATCATTTCCTTACTGAAAGGGGGCAAATCAATTTCCACTGAACCGCCAAGCCCAAAGATCTGGAATCGGCCGGAAGTGGATTTCCAACCACCGGCAATGATCTCAACTGTAGAGCTTCTGTTTCTATTTGTGCTGGTTTCTTGGAACTCAACACGAGACACCAAGTGACAACTGGAAATCAAGTGTGAACTCTTCCTTTTGCTGACTTCTCAGAAACAAACTAGGTACTGGGGATGGAAATCTTGCACCACCTAACAAAACCCATCGGAATGATCCGATTTCCCGTTAAAAAAACCCAACGAACGTTCTGGTTTCATTCAGCCATGGCTTGATTAACCGTTGCCTAAGCGGAGTTCGAGTCCCTCCGCGGGTGGGGTTCCTAGGACCTGTGGCTGGGCAAGTACCCGCGGAAGCCTTCGGGCAAGCCGCAGGAGGGGAGGGAAAGAAGTCAAAATGGGACCGTCCATTTGTAGGGGAATGGATGTGGTTCCTTTGTTGGTCCATATAAAAGGATCCCTGCTAGAAAGGGATGTGGTTGATCACAAGGGGTTTCTCCATTCTGTGATACTTTTGGGAATCCCCCTTTGTATTAACAACATAGTCTTTGGGAAGCTCTTTCAGTTGTATCACAGAAGTGGTCATTCCCCACAGCCCCTGTCCATGAGGGTTTAGCTTTTACATCGGCATTTACCAGAAGAAAGCAGCGCATTGCGGGGGGGGGGGGTGCCAGACATGCTGTGGATGGACAAACTGGGACCAGTTGGTGGCCGATTTATCAACCAGTCTTCAAATCGGGAATCGATCGCCAAAGTCATGCAGGGTTTTTGTAGTATAAGAGTTTTAACTGGGATTTTTTGGACAGACATCATGTTTGGTGGAGAGTCACGTCCACCAATCACTTTGGAGCTGGGTCCCCAAGCTGAAGCTCGTGAGCGGGGAAGCTCGGGCACCCTCAAAGCCCCAGAGATTCTGCTTGCCTTCTTTCCTGAAAAACGTTCCGGAGCTGCAACTGTGAGGTTAATGTTAACCCCGGCTCGGTCTGCCTCCTAGTTCCTCACTTTTGGGGCCTGAGCCCTCTACCCCCCCCCCCAACTGCTCGCTTCGGATGGGCAGGATTTCAATTACTTGAGGGTAAATGGGCGAAGCAAGCAAATTGGAGTTCAGTGGTTAGTAACCTTACTATGTCTCATTTACCCCTGTTGGAAGTCCTCCATGTGGACTACGTACGTATATCCAGGGTTACTAGCCACTTACTGAGCAGCCTGTCACCTTTTTAGGTAGTTGGGCTCCTTTCGGTCAGTTGTATGGGGCCACTGACTTGAACCGAGCGCAGGGTCAACTTTGATGCATAGCCATGGTTGGGTAAGCGTCACGATTCTTGTCACTCCTTTTAATTGTTTGGGAACATTAGCTTAGCATCTGCTTAAATTTTGCTGTTTCCCATTTGGGTTTAAAGGGAAACTATCACTGGTAGAATATTTTTTCAGGCTGTTCCAGGGGACTTCAGCAACTGGACGTCAAGGCTTGGCAGCTGCTGGAATCCATCCACGTGTTACAAGCCGTCGCGCTCCGAGAACCTTTTTCGGCTGGCCTTGGGCTCCCGATCCGCTCAAATGGAATGACGAGACTCAGTGCTTTCCAGCTGAGTCTCATAGCTGCGGAAGCCATGGAAGTTGATACGCCAACTGGTGCCTGCTTGAATGGTCTGACCTGAGTTACTGGGAGAGTATCCCGAGATTGCACCTTTTAGCGATTTGACACATAGCCTTTCCGCTGACACATGTTTTGTGGATCTGGGGGTTGATTCCATCCTTCAGCCATCGCTCTTTTCAAAATTTTTCAGCCGTTTCCCCAGGGCTGTTGGCGGTTTTCTAGAAAGGATCCGTGGAAAGAATGGGGGAGCTAGCCCTATGGATGCACTTGTACTTGCGTGTTGCGTGTTGCTCAGATGGTTTGTTGCTCTCTGCCAGGAGACGCCTCGAATATTTGCGAGCGTAAAATTGACGCAACAGCTTGCACGGGCGCGCAGGGGCTTTGGTCGATTCTGCGGAGCCGTGAAGATGCGAATAGATGGCTCCAGCCCCCCAAACCATCACCGTGTTCATCCAGTTTCGAACAGTGAAAAAAAGCGTGGGTAGCTTTCAAAACCTCAGGTGTGCCTTTTTTTCTGAGGGTACCCCTTCCTTTTTGGTTTAAAAGGAAGACTAGATGGAAAATCTTTGCGCCATGTGAGTCTGATTCCTAGAGACACACCCATATGGGCGGATCAACTTCTCTGGGTTTCAATTTGGAGTTGGGGAAAAAAACAAAGCAAACAAACAATACGGTTTTGGGAAGGTTCGGAGGAACCAGCTGTCTACAAAGGATCATGTATAAATATACGTAGTATGCATAAATATATATATATATATATATATATATATATGGTACCCCCCCCCTGGAATACTCAGGTTTTTGGCAAGAAATTGACATTTTGGCTGTAAAAATGCATGCAAAGCACACGTTCCAGCTTCTAAAATCAGGCTCTAAAAAATGCACTCCTTTTTAGACTTAAATTCTAGCATCGGTACTTAGTGCAATCCAGGATGTGCTAGCACGTGCTAGCGCGTCCTGGATTGAAGATTGAAGATTGAAGATTCTCAGACCACTTGTTCTGGAAATCTTCAATCCGTCCTTAGGACTAACTGGTATGTGCTAGCACGTGCTAGCACATCCTGGATTGAAGATTGAAGATTGAAGATTCTCTGACAACTCTCTCTGGGATTCTTCAATCTTCAATCTTCAATCCAGGATGTGCTAGCACGTGCTAGCACGTGCTAGCACATACCAGTTTGTCCTCAGGACGGATTGAAGATTTCCAGAACAAGTGGTCTGAGAATCTTCAATTTTCAATCTTCAATCCAGGATGTGCTAGCACGTGCTAGCACATCCTGGATTACTCTAAGTACATATTTGGAGAATTTCAGAAAGAGTTGTCAGAGAATCTTGAATCTCCCATCCAGATCCTGGATTGCCTTAAGTGCGGATTTGAAGAATCCAAAAGTGCACGTTGTCAGAATCAAAATGTGGATGTGCACTTGCACTGCCTGCAATTGGCCAGGGGGAAAAATGTTGCTGACACCGTTACATTTTTTTGTGGACTTGAGGGCTGGCCAGGACGGAAGATTCTCAAATAGAAAATCTGGTAGATCTTCAATCTTCAACGCAGGGGGCGAAGCCTTGATGAGTCTAGAACAAATTGTCAATTTTTTGGGGGACCAGGATTGAGTACATTCTAAACATATGTTTGTGGAATCTTGTATATTCGATGTTCGATCCAGGGCAACACGATCTGAGCAAATGCTGAAAAACACTGCGTTTTACAGCATTTATGCAAAGAATATGATTTATGACTGAAAACACGTTCCTGTCATTGGCTTGGCTCAGTTCTTGCTTGGTTCAAACCACATGGAGTTCGAAGGACAATAACCGTTTCAAAATTGAGTTTGATTGCAAATTCATTTGGCCATGACAATAGCTATCTTCTCCAGTTGATTTTTGAAATGCACAAGAAACTGCAAACGAGTAAACTTGAATTTGGTTTGAACTCGAAAGCTTTTTTTTTAAACTGGATATTCTTCCCTTACTTGAATTTCAATAGTTGTTAGTGGCGATGATGGAACCAACTTAGACAAGCAACACACACACACACGTGGGATAGTTGCTTTGCAACATATGTTTCAATTAGACTGAACTAGCATGTCAGGAATTATGCACAACACTCGAGTTAACATGTAAATGCAACTGCGCAAGGACATGAATTAGGAATGAGTTCCTTTTCCCCGAATTGATGTTTTGCTGAATTTCGCTGCCAAACAAAAATAATAAACACCAAATAATAGGGCTGCTACAGGCGCGTTGAAGCTGCCAAAGCATACTTTGCGCACTACTCCTGTACTGAACATTTGTGTTTTTTTGAGCTGGAGCTGCCAAATTGCACTTTGCATACTCCAATGTGACTTTAAGTGCACTTCGCGCACGCCAATGTGACGGTCACACAACTCGCAACTCCTAATCAACGTTGAGCTTAACTTCTGCTTGGTCAGAATTTGCATGGAGTTGAGTGTCCAGTTCATTTCAGAGTCTCGAGGCATTTATTTGTTACCCCCAGTCTGGCCAAAAAACCCAGTTCTGTCCAAAAACCTGACTATTTCAAGAGGGGGGTAGCATATATATATATATATATGTATGTATTTCATACACCCTCCTGTCCAGGTAAGGAAGTTGAGTGAGTGATCCTGGAAGACTCAGATAATTTTCCATTAGAAGGGGACCCTCTGTTTTCCATGTAAGCGGACAGGGCAACTACATGCTAGGAAGCCTTACGCTCCTTTCACTGAAGCTCACAGAGTCCAAAATGGTATCAACTTGTATCAACTACCCAGAAAAGACCACCGCCGGGGAAAATTGGGGTATGGACCCTTTATATAGTGGCCATAATTGTTGTGGCTGTATATCCCATTCAAATTGTGGGGGCAGTGGTTTGGGGGTACTGGACTCCATCCTAGACAGGGAGTCCTTTCAAAAGCAATTTGATCTTCGACGGACAGATCATGATTTATGTAGAATCATTCAGTTGGCCAAATGCCAAATGCACGTGTGTGTGTGGTGTTTGTGTGTGTGTGCGGGATATAAAGCTGTGTATACCAGACAAACAAGAACACATACATCTATTGTAGCGGTATTCATTGTTTATGTACATGATTATGCATACACATGCAGGCATATGCGACATTTTGCAGGCCCTACCGGCAAACAAACCCGAACTCCCCCACATTTAGGGGGACTTCCTGCAAACCAAGTGCATTTCCAAACATGACATGTTTGCGCTGCTTGGCTTGCTTTGCACTCACAGAGAAGATTCGGGAGGGGCCTAAGCTTTGCAACTTGCAACCTGCGTCGAGTTTTTGCCATCTTTAAGGGCCCAGATCATTCACCTGCAATGAGCAAGATTGATGAAGTCTTATGCTTTCCCAAGTTCCTGGACTTCCTTCTTGGGAAGAGCATTTGAGTGGTAAATAAACGGTTTGGCTACTCTTGGGCCCACTCGGGAAGTGAGGTTTTTTTGCGGAAGGCCGGATATTCGGTGCTCGTAGCCCTGGCGCTTTCAGCTTTGGCTGTAGCAGGAACCATGACTTGGCAATGGATGCCCCAGGGATTTGTGCGCAGGAGCTCAGAGAGGAGCTTGCTCTATGTTTGGGTTTCGTGACTAAAGTTTGCTACTGATCGTGCCTGGGATAGAAGTCCACCAAGAAAACCGACCAAAGCAACCAGCCTCAACACTCCCCGCCAGAGCTCGGCATCCCTCGAACGAAGCAAGCTGTGGGTGAGAGTTGCCCCGCCTCGCTGCGATGCCATGGATGCGGAGCAGGCGATCGGGAGGGGCTTCTTTTCGGATGGTCGGTGAGAAAGATTGACAGGCAGAGGGCAAGGGAACATACCAACATAGAAGGCTTCGTCTTCCATTTGCTGAAGGGAATGTGTATATACATATATATATATATACATACATCCCCTGTGGTGGTTTAACGGGGAATCTGTCACTACTGGACATATTTGTATTTTTCTCAGGGGACTAAAGCAAATGGAAGTTGTGGATCAACCAAGGATCCCATCATCCTATCAGACATGGGCAATGTTTCCAGCATACGGCCTGGAGTTCAGCAACAACTCCCAAACGCATGAACAATAGTAAAGACTTTCACGTCCATATTACGTATTTCCACAGCATGCATCTACACCATATTCTGGTAATCACCTGAGGCAGACAAATACACAACAAGGCCCTTTTGGAAATTCTTCGGGGTGAAAATCATTCCGGGTCCGAGATCCTTTGCCTGATCGATTTGCCCCGGTTTCGATCGGCACACTTGTTTTTTGGCTTTTTGGGGGCGTAGGTGTCCTTTTTAGTTGTTTTGGTAGGAAAATAGATGGCCCTGGTTCACCTGGTGGTTTAATCATCCACCAGAGAAATCCATCTATTTCCCCTAAAAGGACACCTATGTTTGGGAGTCGTTCCTCAAACTCGGGCGTCCGATGCTTGACATTTCCCATTGGCTCATGTGATTCCTGCAAAGCGACAATCGCAAGATGGCTTGGAGGTCCATCACCAACAAGTGGCTTTGATTGTTCCAGTGGTACTAACCTGATGGGCGGAGCAGTGGCTCAAGGCAAGCAGACAATTGAGCTGCTAATTTGCTGAGGCAGCGTAGAGCCATGTACTATTGCTATGAAGGCACCTTCATCACTACAAAGGAGCGCACTCCGGCAAACAGATCAGCTAGCCTTCCTGCTCGACTTCATCAGCCTACTCCGGATCCTGACGGAGTATATGTTCAAACGCTGGAGGAGCGTGCCTTTGCTCTCGGAATGGAGTGTGTGGAGGCGGCTCGCATCGCCCGCGGGGCAAGTGCCGAACCGGAGGAGCCTTCCCCGGTTTCGGCTGAGAGGAACCACGGGACCGATGTGCCCTCGGTGGGAAGTTTAGGGCATCCAGAGTTCTGTCACAGACCGTGCCTCCTCTTGCAGTTTGGATGCCCCAACGGCCTCCAGTGCGGGTATTGCCATCACCCGCACGGTCCTCGCGTGAAGCTGGACAAGCAGCGCCGTGACACCTTACGCAACCTCAGTGACCCAGTTGCCCAGTGGGTTGCTTCCTTTTTTCCCCTTTTTTGGGGGAAGGGTTCCCCCGAAAAGTCAACCAACCAGAAAAGGATGCCAATCCTTTTGTCCATGGAAATCCACCGGGCCTCTGAGGTGGCTGTGGGTCAAAAATCGGTACCCCAAATAGCTTGCCCTGGTAAGTGGAAGCATGGACCAAAGCCTGCGGTCCAATTCCTGGTGGTTTGATTTTCACCCATACCCATTTCCCTGTCGGGTTCTCGGTATTTACAGTACTTTTAGGTGATTTCCGTTTCCTTTCATCCCATGGCCACTGGGCAGAGGTGAGTACGATCAGCTGAAGCTCGTCCTTCCCCATCTCAAGGCCCAGCAGCTCCGCCTGGACCTGCCGGGAGCTGCGCGAGTCGTCGAGCTCATGGAGCAGCACTTGGCAGGCCTTGAAGTGCCCCACGGGGCCGCCCCGAAATGGAAGCAGAACTCGCTGAGCCGAGCCATACGCGACATGAGCTTCATCCGTCTCATGCAATTTTGCCCCTGTACCAATCTGGATCCCATTCAGTCAGCCTTGATGGAGTTGCGAGCCAGCTACCAGGAGGCAAGTACTGACTGATCCGGAGACGGCACACATTTCAGAACGCGGAATTTGCAGTTGCCATTTTACGAGGCATGCCTAATTCTGCTTTGTAGTGGCTTAGGACTCCCTTTAAGAGAAGCGTTCAAAGGCTGATGCTTGTTTTGCAGCGTGCCGTGAATGCCAGCATCCAGCATTTGTCAACGCCTCTTCCGAACTTCGCTTTGCTCTGGCAGCTCTTTCGGCTTTCTATCATGTCCTCCAAGGCAGCATGCCAAGACGCATTCTCAAGCAGTACCATGAATGGTCGAAGACGCCTGAGCTGCTTGTCCACATAGTGAAGCCAGTGCCAGGAAATCACAACGCAGTCACCACGTTTGCATGACGGTCACGTCTACATGATGTGCACATAGTGACACATGTTCACAGTGGAACATGAAGGTGTGCACATGCTATGTTGCAAAGGCATGCTCAAACACGCTCATGCATGCAAGCGCGCATACTTACAGACACGATCACATGCTCAATCACACGCGCACACACACAATCACACGTGTCAATAATCAATGTCCTTTGTCCTCTGACACGCGTGCGAGCACGGCCGCACGCACGCGCACACACAGACACAGACACACAGACACACAGACACGCGCACACAGACAGAGACAGACAGACAGACAGACAGACAGACAGACAGACAGACAGACAGATAGACAGACAGACAGACAGACAGACAGACAGACAGACAGACCAGACACACAGACAGACAGACAGACAGACAGAGACAGACAGACAGACAGACACACACACACACACCCACACCCACACCCACACCCACACGCAGACGCAGACGCGCACGCGCACGCACACGCACGCGCGCGCACGCGCACACGCGCACACGCGCACACGCGCACACACACACATACACCCACACCCGCACGCACACGCACACGCACACGCACACGCACACGCACACGCACACGCACACACACACACACACACACACACGCACACGCACGCGCACGCGCACGCGCACGCGCACCGGCACACGCACACGCACACGCACACGCACACGCACACACACAAACACAGAAACACACAAACACAGAAACACACAAACACACAAACACACAAACACACAAACACACAAACGCACAAACGCACAAACGCACAAACACACAAACGCACAAACGCGCAAACGCACAAACGCACAAACGCACAAACGCACAAACGCACAAACGCACAAACGCACAAACGCACAAACGCACAAACGCACAAACGCACAAACACACAAACGCACAAACGCACAAACACACAAACACACAAACGCAAACAAACGCACAAACGCACAAACGCACAAACGCACAAACGCACAAACGCACACACGCACAAACGCACAAACGCAAAAACGCACAAGCGCGCAAACGCGCAAACGCACAAACGCACAAACCCACAAACCCACAAACCCACAAACCCACAAACCCACAAACCCACAAACACACAAACACACAAACACACAAACACACAAACACACAAACACACAAACACACACAAACACACAAACACACAAACACACACACAAACACACAAACACATAAACACACAAACACACAAACACACAAACACACAAACACACAAACACACAATCACACAAACACAACCACACACACACAGGCACACACCCACACACCCACACACCCACACACCCACACACCCACACACCCACACACCCACACACCCACACACCCACACACACGCACACCCACACCCACACCCACACACACATGACACACACACACACATGACACACACACGCACACATGACACACACACACACACGCATCTGAAGCTCACAAACACGCAAGCTTTTTCAGACTCACAAACTCACAAGAAACACACGCGAAGCGAAGCGCGGAAAAGCACAAAGACATACAACATAGAAGCATCCGCACGCACACACGCACACGCTGAAGATGAATCCTGGAAAGCGAAGTGAAGAAGTTGGTCATGTCCTGGTCCTTGAGCGAGACGCTGACTGCGCATTCCTTCGGCGGCCCCCTGCTTCAGAAGGTGTTCCCTCGACTGGTCCGGGCTGCCACACACACACAACAGCTCCCGCAGGAGCAAAGGGTCATCTGAAGTCTGTTGACAGAGATTCGGGATCTTGTGCGTCAACATATCGTCAACATCAAGGAAGGCGCGGTGGTGGCTCGGTACATCGATGACTCCTCCAGGAAGCAGAGTCTGTATAGGTGGCTCGGTGCATCGATGACTCCTCCAGGCAGCAGAGTCTGTACATTTAGTTCCCAATGCTGAAAACGTTTGCTGTTTGAGGCAGATCTGGCCTTTGAAATGGTGCCCGAGTTCACTCAAAGTGGCTCCCACAATGCTAGGCCACCGCCCTAAACCACCTTAATCCAACTCTAAACTCCCACTACACACTGCGTAAACCGCAAATAAATACCCGCCCTAAACCCTCCCTAAATCCGCAATGAAGAAGCCCTATACAGAAACCAAAAAACACAACCCAAACAAACACCAAGCGAACCCTGAGCAAACCCTGAACCAAACCTAAGCCCACCCTTTTCCAACTCGCAATACCAATCCGAAACCCAGCCTGCGCCAACCCTACACCCACCCTACACCCACCCTGAACCAGCTTCAAGCCACTCAAGATCAACCCGAAGCAAAACCTAAGCAAACCCTAAACCAACACTAAACCAACACTAAACCAGGCTAAGCCTACCCAAGACCCACCTAACCGAAACCCACCCTCAACCAACCCCAACAATCCTAAACCAACTCTTAAACCTAGCCAAAGCCACAACTAAATCCACCCTAAACCCACACCTATGCCAACCCAAAAGAAGCTACCCAATCCTATAGCATTATAGCAACCCTAAACCCAGCCCTAAACCAAGCTTTTCTGTCAGAGGCGTCGGTCAGAGGAGTCGATCAGCAGTGTCGTTCAGCAGTGTTGCTCTGAAGTGTGCGTCAGAAGTGTCGATCAGAAGTGCTGCTCAGAAGTGTCGATCAGACGTGTTGCTCAGAAGTGTCGCGATCAGAGGTGTTGCTCACAAGTGTGTCGCTCAGAAGTGTCAATTCAGCAGTCTTACTCAGGCATGTCGCTCAGAAGTGTCGATGAGCAGTGTGGATCAGAATTGTTGATCAGAAGTGTTGCTCAGAACTGTCGATCAGAAGTGTTGCTCAGAAGTGCTGCTCAGAAGTGCCAATCAGAAGTGTGGTTCAGAAGTGTTGCTCAAACCGTCGACCAGAAGTGTCGATCAGAAAAGGTGTCGCTCAGAAGTTTTGGCAAAAGTGCTGCTCGGAAGTGTTGGTCGGAAGTGTTGCTCATGGAAGTGTCGATCAGAAGTGTGGCTCAGAAGTGTCGATCAGAAGTGTTTGACAGAAATGTCGCTCAAAAGCGTCGATCAGAAGTGTGGGTCAGAAGTGTTGCTCAAAAGTGATGCTTGGAAGTGTCGCTGAAAAGTGCTGCTCAGAAGTGTTGATCAGAAGTGTTGCTCAGAAGCGTCGCTCAGAAGTCTAGTACGCGCTGGAAAATGGCAACTTTGTAGTGCAAATCTACATGTTTCCAGCTCTAGCTGGACAATCGCAACTTTGTAGCGCCAAGTGCAGGTTTCCAGCTCTAGCTGGAAATCGCAACTTTGAAGTACAAGCCTGGTGCGCAAATACTGGTTTCCAGCTCTAGCTGGAAAATCGCGACTTTGCGGTACAAGTCTAGTACAAGTTCAAGTTTCCAGCTACTTTGACAAGTCTAGACGCGAAGTACAGGTTTCCAGCTCCAGCTGGAAAATCGCGAATTTGTAGCACAAGTCTAGTACGCAAAGTACAGGTTTTCAGCTCTTGCTGAGGAGTCGCAACTTTGTAGTACGAGTCTAGTACGCGAAGTACAGGGTTTCCAGCTTGAGGTGGAAAATCGCGACTTTGTAGTGCAAGTCTAGCACGCGATATACAGGTTTCCAGCTTTAGGTGAAGAATCGCAACTTTGTAGTACAAGTCTAGCACGCGAAGTTCCAGCTCTAGCTAAAAATCAACTTTTGTGTAGCACAAGTCTGGCGCGCGAAGTACCGGTTTCCAGCTCTAGATGGAAAATCGCAACTTTGTAGCACAAGTCTAGCGTGCTCGAATTGCAACCTTGTAGCACAGGTAAAGTACGCGATCGCAACTTTGAAGTACAAGTCTAGTGCGCAAAGTGCAGGTTTCCAGCACTAGCTGGAAAATCACAACTTTGCAGCACAAGTACCGTGCGCGAAGTACAAGTTTCCATCTCTAGCTGGAAAATCGCAACTTTGTAGTGCAAGTCTAGCACGCAAAGTACAGGCTTCCAGCTCCGGCTGGACAATCGCAACTGTGTAGCACAAGTCTAGTGCGCGAAGTACAGTTTTCCAGCCGGCTGGAAAATCGACAACTTTGTAGTACAAGTCTAGTGCGCGAAGCGCAGGTGTCCAGCTCCAATTCGAAAAATTGTAACTTTGTAGCAACAAGTCGAGTGCGCAAAGTACAGTTTTACAAGCTGAAAAAATAGTTTGCGCAGCTGACTTGATTGCGATACCGAAAAATGTTCTCTCTAATTATTTTCTTGTGTTTGCGCAAAGTGATGTGCATTCGGGTTCCTTTTGGGCTCTGTCTTGTTCCGAGGTTCGACGGTGCGGTCTCGATCCAGAAAAGCCGCAGAGGGATCACCTTTTCGATCAAGCACCATGGGGCTTGGGTTTCTTTCGGGTGAGTTTTGGCTTGGTTGAGGGTAGCGCTGGTTTTAGGGTGGGCTTAGGGTGGGCTGGTGTAGTATGGATCCAGGGTTGGTTCAGGGTTGGTTTCGGGTGGTTTTGGGATTGCTTAGGGTTTGCTGGGGTCGATGTTTAGGGGATTGTTTCGTGCGCTGGTTTACGATGGGTTTAGGGTGGGTTTAGGGCTGGTTTAGGGTTGCGCGAGCCCGCGCAACACCAGCGCGTGTGTTCAACAGCACAGGCCCACAAACACAATCGCAAGCAAGAACATCATCTCGCAATAGGCCTGTGCAAGCACAAGCAAACACATCACACACACACACACAAGATTCCCACATGCAAGCACGCAAAACACACAAACACGGACGTGCAGCAATTTCCACAACCACACAAACACACGGCCGCAAATACAAAGACAACGCACAACACACGCAGACAAATGAGCGCGTGCACACACTTGTATTCAAGTCCGTGTGTTGGAAGCAAAACTGAACGGGGCTGCTTCTCGCAAAGATTGGTGGGAGCGCGACGTGATTTTTCGGCAGCAATTCATCGCATGACCTGGCATTGGGCTCCAGCAGTTCCCCGATGCCCCATAAGTATGCGGACCAGCGCCGAGGCGAGAGCCCAGACAGTATCCGGCGTTGGGCGCCCTATGCGGACCAGCGCCGCGAGGCTAAAACCGAACAACTAGACCGTATCCAGCCTTGGGGCGGATGCCACATAAGTACGCGGACCAGCGCCGCGAGGCGAAAGCCGATTTTCTAGACCGTATCCGGCATTGGGTGTCCGATGCCGCATAAGTACGCGGACCAGCGCCGCGGGGCGAATGCCCACTGAAAGATGAAAGAGGCGCAGCGCCTGCATAGGGCATGATCATGTTGATGGAAGCAAGAGTCATTGGGGTGGGGCAAGTGTCATGTGACATGAGCCGTTGCTTACATGGTGTTGCGTCGGCTGCGAATAGTAGAAAAACTCAACATCCCTCGAAGTGGCCAGAGGGCTCCCAATGAAGTTTTATATTTGTCTGACTTCGCTGGACCCAGTATCAGGGTTATTCGGGGGATTTTTGCCAAAACGGCTATACTACATATAACACCTATACTAAAAAAAAAAGGACACAACTGGAGCATGTTTCCCTCCAACCTACGATTTGGCAAATTATATTGGGCGTCGCAGATTTTTCTGGTGTCAGCTTGGTGCTGCACGCGTGCAGCCTCGGAACTTGATTGCAGCAACCCCGCCCCTTGGCTTGGCTTCTAGTGGATTGCATCGTTTGCCTATAGCTTTTTGCAGTCTGACGCCTTCCAGAAGGTTCGGCTGAGTATCTAAAACGCTAGGGAATGGCGAGAATCATCTGAATTACCTTGGCTTGTTGGGTCACGTGCAACATGGGCTTTGAACCCGGGGGTGGTACGTGGGCCGAGCCTATACATGAACCAAGAAGCCATGGTGGCCTGTTAATGGCTGTAATGTTGATGGTTTCGCTCGTTTACCGTGCTTGCGCAAGACGCAATGTCCTTGAATTTCCTATTTTTGTGCGTGGAGATAGTTGGTTCACTTGCAATATGTCAGGCGCTCCTTGACCACCAAGTGAGGTTCGGTCAAAAACTCTCCAGTATGGTCATTTTCTTTAGGACATGTTTTGTTCCACAAAAAAGAATCCCTAGACACGGAACCAAATTTAAGCATATGTGGTTTGGTTGGCAAAAGCTGAGGTCGCTCCTTTCCCAAAATCTCATCCTTCGAACGCCGGGGTGAGACTCTCGCATTTCCCACAGGGTTTCCTTCCTCTGATTTTTGCGGGAGTGTAAAACATGAGATCTATCCACCTTCACGAAACGCGCTTTGTTCGCTCGAGCCCAGTCCCTCTTCGGGTTTCCCGGGTCTCTCGACTGGAGGTCCCGGAGAGTAGCCATTTCGCTCTGGAGGAGAGGGTGCTGCACCTGGAGGCAGGTTTTGGCATGAGGTCGGAACCCTTTTGGTGCCATGGAGACTTGGAGATGTTGCAGCCAAGAGAACCAAAAAAAGGACCGCAAGCCAAACTGAAGGTTGCCGAACGGATACCTTGTGGTAGTAGAGGATCGTGTATATCTGGATCTATTCCGCAGAAAATCCAATATGTCAATATGGAGTACAAGAGGATGGAAAGTGTCTGGTGGCTCTGATTACTGTGTTTCACTGCAAGCTGCCTGCAACAAAATCCTTTTATGTAGCTATCGCATGAATGGTGCAATCTGTGCAAGAAAGGCACGGTTGCATGGAGATCAAGGTACAAACCAAACACAAAACAGACACAAATTTCTTTTAATCTCCAGCACTGAATTACTATGTAATTTCTGGCTTCTTGGCCTTCGGCCGTAGCCTTTGTTTTATGCCGTAGCCATTGAAATACTTGTTTCATCCTTTTTGCTGCGCGGATGAAAGGTCTTGGTGACAACTGGAAAACGGTTTGTACTCTTGATGGGAGATACCTAGCTGTATCAAAAGAGGATGCAAACCGCTTGGTACATGCGGGATCGATGTGAAACTATTGGTCTCTCACTGAAAATAGTCTTGTCGTCGATGAGGATCAATTGGTCGTGATTCGTTGTGCCGTTTTCGCGTGAGCTCTCGCAATCGAGCTTCTGAGAATCTTATTCCTGGCAAATCATGAAGACCAAGGGAGGTCTGGATGGTTGCCAAAGGAGGCAGTCGGAATAGCTTATCATTTCTTGTTGTATGAATGATAGCTGCTATCAGGTTGACTGCCGTAATCGAAGTCCCTCCAGGTCGAATCGCTGAAATGCTTCCATCCCTGATCGCCGTACGAGTATGGGTTTCCATGGCTTCCATGCTGTCTCCTGTTTCTTGCCCTTGAGGAACTCCTTGGTCCGAGAATAGTTTCGGATGTAGACCATCAATGGGCTGTGTGAATCGGAATCACAGTGACCCAGCATCAGCATCTCGTTGGTGATGTGCTTCATGCGTTCGTTGGATGAGACCTGGTAGTCGGCGATGGCCTTCTCAAAGTCGTCCTGCGTGGATGTCAGTTGTGCTTCAGTCAAATTTCCAATCTCTGACTTGCGGAACTCTTGTTGGATGTCTGTCTTTCCCCATCCCAATAACAGTCAGGAAATGTTCTGTCATACAAGGACCCAGTCTTCATATAAAAGTGATGACGTACGATTGACTTCATTGTGCAGGATGTCGCCATTTTGTAATCCAATCGGTGCGGGCATTTCCTGTGCCTCGTTCCATGTCTTCTGATATTTCTGGATGATGTAGTTGATGAGGCCTTGGTCAGGATTGTAGACATTTTGAAGCTTGCTGTAGGTATTGGCGGACTCAACGCATCACCTGTAATCGCATCGCATTGGTACTCGGTGACGAGGGGCATGATTCCTGATTGGAAATCTTCCCGTGCTGCGCCATGGGTGATGTTCGGATGAATGTGGAACACGCCAATGGCTGCGAATGGGAGGTCTGCCCTTGTCACATGGCGGCTGTCGAAGTATGGCGCCGCGCATTTCATTGTTGAACTCGGTGTGGATGACAACAGTCTCTCTGTGCTTGCCGTGTCCTTGGACTTTGGTGCGTGGCGGCAGTCTCCTTCCAATGCACTTCGGCTGATCGACGAACATGTCAGGTCCGGTGGATGCCAAACAGTCGGATGTGGGAGTATCGTAGTCGGGATCAGCGCAATCCTTTTCGACCCCAAAATAACATCTGAACATTCCAAACGTCGTACCCCAGTATTGGCTTTTGGTGGAAATGTGTCGTGCCAATAGTTCGACTTTGGCTTGCTTTCCGCCGCGGACAAAGCATGGGATTGGTTTTGCTGACCAAGATTTGAAAACGATGCCCTTGTAGCCAAATTTGATGAACAGCTTGACGAGGTCCTTGGATTTCTCATCTTCAGAATAAAAGAAGGCATCGGCTTCGTTGAGGCAAATGATGTGGGAACTGTTCTGCAACATCATCATGATGAGTGGCCTTTCTTTCATCGACATGTATTTCGCTTCCCGGGTGTCGTGAGGTTTCCGTGATTCAAGGTGAGCGTGTTGAGCGTCAAGGATGAAGTGAATTCATGCGACTCAAGGTGATCAACATAGGGGCGATCTGACGGCTGCATCAGGGATCCAAGGATGTCCATGAATGACTTGATAAGGTCCGGAGCAGCATCGTGCCTCAACTTCTTCAGTCCAATCGGAAGTCTGATTTGGTTGGATACCCTGATTTGTCTTGTGCTGCCCTGAACTCTTCCCTTGTCGGCTTCTTGTGTTGGTGATAAAAGTGGAATTCTTCCTCATCGAAGTTGGTGTCCGGATTCACATACGCCAAGGATCTCAGCTCAGTTTGATTCAAGTCTGGATGAACATTCCTTGGATTGGCATTGTATCTTGCCATGAAGTCTTGGAGTTCTCCTGAATTGTCTTGAGCTCTTCTGCTGCATCGGTCTTGTTCATGTCCCGGTCCAAAGTGACTTCCGCAAATTCCTGGATGAATTCGGATACTGGGATAGGGTCGTACTTACGCTGGAGTTATAAGAGACTTAGCACTTAGCTTGGACTTATAAGTAACTTATCTTGAACTTAGAAAAGAGGTTTTTCTAAGTCCGCTAAGTTCATTCTAAGTTCATTGAGTTTGCAAACACATGCGTTTTGAAGCATGGCAGTGATGAAGCATTACGCGCTGGAAATCACACATTTTCGTGTAACTCAACGCAGCAGGGCAGGCGCGCGCGCATGCAGTTTACGCTGTTTGTTCGCGCTGCTTCGCACGCTTGGCTCGATGGAGCCAGAGCATTTTTTGCACTGATTGACTCGGTTTAATTTTGTTGTGCGATGATCGTTTCTATATAGTGTCTCCGCTGGCGGCCGGTCCGCCTTCATATAGTCGCATGGGGTGGTTTCTCCGCCGGCGGCCGGTCCGCCCATTTTGCTTTTCTCGTTTGATGATATATCATTGTAGCGGTGGTTCCGCTGGCGGCCGGTCCGCCAAGCTTTTTTTGCCACGTTCATTTTCATTTCGAGATGGCACTTGAAGCGGTTGTCCGCTGGCGGCTGGTCCGCCCAGGAATTGTTCGGCGTGATTTTTATTTCGAGATGGCACTTGAAGCGGTGGTCTGATGGCACCTTGCGATTTTTTGCATGTTTGGATTGTGAGTGCGCGGATGAAAGGCTGCAAGACTCAATCAAGGCTCCAGAATCCAGACTGCTGACTGCAAACTCCACACTCCAGACTGCAGACTCCAGACTGCAGACTCCAAACTGCAGACTCCAGACTGCAAACTCCAGACTCCAGACTGCAGACTCCAGACTGCAGACTCCAGGCTGCAGACTCCAGACTGCAGACTCCAGACTGCAGACTCCAAACTGCAGACTCCGGACTGCGAACTCCAAACTCCAGACTGCAGACTCCAGACTGCAGACTTCAGACTGCAAACTCCAGACTCCAGACTGCAGACTCCAGACTGCAAACTCCAGGCTCCAGAGTGCAAACTCCAGACTCCAAACTGCAGACTCCAGACTGCAGACTCCAGACTGCAGACTGCAGACTCCAGACTGCAGACTCCAGACTGCAAACTCCAGACTCCCGATGCAGACTCCAGACTCCAGACTGCCAACTCCAGAATCAAGACTGCAGACTCCAGGCTCCAGAATGCAAACTCCACAGACAGACTGCAGACTCCAGACTCCAGACTCCAGACTGCAGACTCCAGACTCCAGACTGCAGACTGCAGACTCCAGGCTGCAGACTCCAGACTGCAGACTCCAGACTGCAGACTCCAGACTGCAGACTCCTGACTCCAGAATCCAGACTCCTGACTCCAGAATTCACAGTCCAGACCCCAGAATCCAGCATCCAGACAGCCCCGCCCCAAAGCCCGGAAAGGCCGGTGCAGTTTTTTCGAACTTAACAAAACTTAACTTAACTTAACCTGGGCGGGTCGTGTGGAGCCGTGGAGTCCCTATTGTAACTCAATCAACTTAACTGCCAAACTTTCCCCGTGAGGCCCAGTTGCGTCACCACGACTTAACATAACTTAACTTGGCCCCGTGGCCGAATTCCACCACAAAATGATCAGGATCCTGGAGCCAGGAGTCATTGTGTCTGGAATCTGGAATCTCGAGTCTGCAGTCTGGATTCTGGAGTTGGCAGTCTGGGCAGTCTGGAGTCTGCAGTCTGGAGTCTGCAGTCTGGAGTTTGCAGTCTGGAGTCTGGAGTTTGCAGTCTGGAGTCTGCAGTTTGGAGTCTGCAGTCTGGAGTCTGCAGTCTGGAGTGTGGAGTTTGCAGTCAGCAGTCTGGATTCTGGAGCCTTGATTGAGTCTTGCAGCCTTTCATCCGCGCACCCACAATCCAAACATGCAAAAAATCGCAAGGTGGCGGACCGGCCGCCAGCGGAACCACCGCTACAATGATATATCATCAAACGAGAAAAGCAAAATGGGCGGACCGGCCGCCGGCGGAGAAACCACCCCATGCGACTATATGAAGGCGGACCGGCCGCCAGCGGAGACACCGCTATAGAAACGATTATTGGACAACAAAATTAAACCGAGTCAATCAGTGCAAAAAATGCTCCGGCTCCATCGAGCCAAGCGTGCGAAGCAGCGCGAACAAACAGCGTAAACTGCATGCGCGATGGCTCACTGCGCGGTCCTGCCGCGATGGCTCACTGCGCGGTCCTGCCGCGATGGTCGCTGCGCGGTCCTGCCGCGATGGTCGTTGCGCGGTCCTGCCGCGATGGTCGCTGCGCGGTCCTGCCGCGATGGTCGCTGCGCGGTCCTGCCGCGATGGTCGCTGCGCGGTCCTGCCGCGATGGTCGCTGCGCGGTCCTGCCGCGATGGCTCGCTGCGCGGTCCTGCCGCGATGGCTCACTGCGCGGTCCTGCCGCGATGGTCGCTGCGCGGTCCTGCCGCGATGTGTTTTCCAAACATGGAAGCGGCCCCGCCGCCGCTACGCCGTG